CAAGGCACACGCGCCCCAGCACCCTCCCCCACTTGCGTGCCCCCAGATGCCCAGCCCCCATGCTCTCATTGCCCGCCTCTTGGTGCCGGTAGGACCCCAAGGGGCCCATTGTCCATCCTACAACACAACTTACAATGCTGAGACTCAAGACATGTGTTCGTTTGAGTTCTACCAGTTCTCCCAAGGAGCGTGCTGAATTCACACTGGGAATACAGTGTCACAAAGAAAAAAATCAGAGACTCGGCCCTTCTCACCCTCTCACGACTCCCCACCCACACATGACCCCTCCAGAGACTGTGTATTTGCAGACACTGGCTCTGTGGGAGCTGTGGCCTCTCCCTGCCCCTCCACGGCTTCCCCTGAGGCCACTAGAGCTCAGGCAGCTGGCGCCACCACGCCACTCCGTGAAGTCCCTGAGTGCTGCCAAGGGGCTGGCTTGGAGGCAGTGCTTGAGAGGAAACCACGAGGCATGCCTGTTCCTCCCGGGGGGCTTTGTCTTCCAGGCCTGTCGGGGGGAGGCAGCAGGCTGCGGGGACCCCAGGTCCTTAAGAGACTTATCTCCTTCCCTGTCATCTACAGCCAATCTGACCAGGGCCCAGCCACCGTGTGTGGGATGTGCCGATCCCCTCTGCTTCCATTGCTTAAGTGAAATGGAAATGAAAAGAATTCCTACCTTGGCAGTTAGTATGGGAGTTATAAATAACACATGGAAAGTGCTTAAAACAGTATCGGGGCTTGTCTTTAAATTCACTACTTTGTCATATATTTTAGGTCATTTTCTCTAGAGAATTGGGGAAAGAATGATAGCAGATTACGGTCCCTCAGTTTCTGATATTTTTGGTACCTGCAGCGTAATTTTATGCATGGGTAATGGTGTAAACACTTAAAAAGAGGTCACGTAAACTGTTTTGCCTTGAAGCGGGAACCCACGCATTGAAGGTAAGTCTCGAGAATCGTTGTTCAAAGGCAAACCTGGGTCATGGGAGAGGAGATTCAAGGGCCCCTGCCCGCGGCCTCTCAATGGACTGAAATGCAAGTTGCTGTGGAAAGAGAAAGCCCCACTGGGCGTGTCTTGCCCCAGGTCCGCCACTTCTGCGGCCTTGGGGACCCTTGATCTACTGGCCGAGCCTCACTTCGTTCAGTGTTTCAGTTGGACTAGCGAGCGCCTAGCGTTTGATTTAACAGAAGTACATGGCTGTGCCTTAGCTGGGGGAGTGTGACACCCACTCTGCTGTCTCCCTCCTCCGTGTGTCTAATGCAGCTGTGGGCGCGTTGGAAAGGAGCAGCTAGGGAGGAATTCTCCAAGAACACGACCTTTGGCTCCTCTGCAGTGTGCCCTGACTAGCTGTCACGCATTCCCGGCTGTCGGCCACGCACCGCATCCCTGTTCTACAGAAATTCTTCCGGGGCGGTGCTGGCTATTTCCTTAGGATAAATTCTTACAGAGGGGATTTCTGGGTCAAAAAGGTGTAAGATGTTAAAGCTCTTGCTGTACACTGTGAAGAAGCAGCGTCGGTAGAACTGTTGAGAGCGTGCATTCTGGGCCCAGGCTGTTTGCAAACCTGAGCGCTGCCACTTGGATTTGGGCGGAGTGATTTAGGCTCCCTAAACCCGTTCCTTCTCTGAAGTGGGGATGGCAATATCCATCTTACAGGGTTGTGTGAGGATGAAATGAGTAGTTCATATTTTTCATAGCTGAGAACAAGTGTCTGGCACACGCTAAGAGCCATGTATATTGTGCCTGATCACAAAAATGTTGTCCGGGAGAAGTGAAAATGCACAGTCGCCGCTGCCCGCTCCTCTCCCGTTAGCCGCTGTCGTGACGCCGGTGAGCTGTTAGTTAAGAGCAGGACGCTGGTCTCAGCGCCGTGGGTCGCGCTCACTGTCCTGCGTGTCGTCCTGGCTTCAGCTTTTCCACATTGATTTGGGGCATTTTGTCTTCCAAGCGGTTGGCACCGTCTGCCCTTCCGTCCGCGCCTCACCGTCTCTATCCGTTTACTGGGGGAGAAGTGGGTCCCCCCGAGCAAAGCCTGCTGGGCTCCTCCCCAGCACCTCGGGGGTCCCTGGCCCGCGTGGGAGTGGGGGGCTCCCGCCTCTAACCCCGCCTGACTCTGGCAGCCGGTCCGCCTGGCTCTGCCGCCTTCGGGACGAGCGTGCTCTGTCCACACCGAAATCCCCGGGTGAGGGGCCCCGGCCGGCCGCGGAGGCTCTGCGGGGCCACGTGTTTCTAAAGGGGGAAGGACTCGGCGCGGGAGGGCGGCCGCGGGCTTTGTGAGCGGTGGGACTGGGAGGACGGTGGCTTCTCCTGGTCCTGGGCGTGTCTCTGTATTAACCAAGGTGTCTTTTCAGGCGGGGCCGCTCTCCCGGGCGCGGGACTCCGGGGAACGCAGCGTGTCTGGGGTCCCCGCACCCGCCGACTCGGTGCCAGCGGACGGTCCGGGCCCCACGCGTTTCCCCGGCCCGGGCTGCTGCTGCCCCCAGCCGGGAACGGCTCCCCGGCTTCCAGGGCCGCTTGTCCTGCGCAGCACACGGGACAGAGAAGCCGCCACGCCGCTGTCTCCGGGGCCGGAGGGCAGAGGAAGGAGCTGGAGGAAGGGGCTTCTCGGAGAGACGGGGTCCCCGGGAGCGGGTCCGCCGCGCCTCCTCCAGCGGGGACTTCAGGGTGGCCTGGGCGGTGGAGCCAGCGGGGTCCCCGGTGCCTGCGCCTGCAGTGCGGGGTCAGCCGGGACCCAGCCGGAGCGAGACGCACGGAGCGCCCTGGCAGCCCCGCGGGTGGCACGTCCTGGAGCCGCCGCGGAGTGTCCGCTCAGCACTCACGGGCCAGGCTGGAGGGTGACGGCTCGCGGCCGTTCTGGGCCCCAACCCAAGTCTGCCTTGCGGTTGAGAGTTAGAGGCCAGCGAAACAAGTCCTTGCCGTCCACGCAAACTGAAGCCCGGAGACAGGCCCTGTGGCGGTGGTAAGTGCAGCCCTGTCCGTCTCCTCCCTCTTCCAGCGATGGTTGGCTGTCCCAGGCTGTCCCAGGCTGTCCCCTTTCTAGACCGGCTTCTCATCTGGCTGGGGATCCACAGGGACTAGACCTGCGGGGAAGGGCTCTCCTGGACACGCACGTTGCCCACCGCAAGTTCTCTCCGGTGCAGTTGAGGCCTCGCGGCAGGTGTGTCTGCCTCGTTCTTCCGCTGGGTGTTGAACCATCAGCCCAGGGCCTTCCTGTAGGTGGGCCCGGGCGTGACTGAGTTGGGAGTGGCCAGGCTGACACCCGCCCTGCTTTGGTAGCAGGCCCATTCCAGGCGCAGAGGGCAGTGCTGCTGACAGGTTCTTAGGCTGGGAGCCCCTGTGAGATGGTCTGATGGACGCTGAGGCCCCTCCGTCTCCCCAGAAAAGTTCGCACCAAATGTTTGAAGGCTGCATCGACAGGTCAACTTACCGGCTTGCTGGCTGTCGCCACACACCCCAGGTGTGCTGTGTGTACAGATGCTGTGTGGAGGGCGCCCCCGGAGGTGTGCAGTGAAGGCAGGGTCTATTCATCAATCAGCAGCACCCCCGCAGCCTCACCCTGCCAGGGAGCCTCCGTAAAAATTCCCGGGGCATCTTTCTACCTTGGTCACAGCGACCCGCTTCCCCAAGCATGTCCCTCATAGGCCACATGGCGTTCCCATTTCTCCTGCTTTCTTTCTGTCCACCTTCCCTCTTCCTGAAAACTGCCCCAGCATCACCGCTGGCTCCACCTCCATCCTCTCACCAGCAAAACATGCAAGTTGTGGTCAGTTCACTTAGTACTTGCCTCGGGTACTTTTGTTTTCCTCACTGTTGCTCTGCCGCAAGACCAGTGGCCGGTATCCATGTGGGCTGCCAGGACAGTTGTGCAGGTTGTTCATCGCACAACTCGAGGGCCAGGCACACTGAAGTCAATGTGAGTCAGCTCCTGGGGGGTGGGCAGCACACAACATGGGTGCCCACATAGGGCAGCCTTGCTGGAGGTGCCGTCAGTCCCTTTGCAGGGTGGTGGTTCTTGAGGAGAAACGTCTTACCCTA